TATGTGCTAGGTACTGTGCTCAATGTTTCTGCAGAATACGAAGATTAAGTTCTTTTATATGATATATAAGAAATGAATAAATTGACTTAATTGCACAACAGGAAAGGAATATTCTTCCAGATAAAAAGAATACCAACCAGCCCCTGAAAATCTTGGTTTAGGAAGACAGGAAAAAAACACAAATAATATGTTAAGAAAAATAGAGACTGTTGGCTATCATTTGGAAAAAATAATAAGTGCTATTCCTCTGTTACATCTCACAAAAATAAATTCTAGATGAATTAAAGTTCTACAAGAGAAAAATCTAAGGGATTAGAAGAAAATTATATAGAAAAATGCTTATAATCTTGGAGAAGGAAAATACAGTCCCAGGAGCCATGAAAAATGAGACCAATATATAACTACATAAAATTTTAAATTCCTACATGATAAAATAAAAGACAAATATCGATGTACATCCTTTGTGACACTAACATACAGAATTCTTAAATCAACAAGAGAAATAAAAATAACCCCATGGGAAAAAAATATTCCTACAAGAAAGTTATCAAGTGCCTATGATGTGTAAGGTATATTCCAGGTATTAGGAATTTAGTAACGAACAAAACAAACAGAAATCCCTGCTCTCAAAGTGTTGACATTTTAGTGTGGGGAGACATGTTAAATAAGATACATAAGTAAATCGAATAGTGTGTCAGATGGTGATAAATCCTACAGAGGAAAATAAAGTAGTAATGGGTATGGAGTGGTGCTGCAATTTTGAAAAGTCAGGAAAGCTGCTGTGTGGTGACATCTAAGCAAGCACTTTAAAGAAGAAATAAAATGTCCCACCAACACCTGAAATGACATTATACTGGACTAATACATAAAGGAGTACGAATCGAACAGCTTCTGGGACTGGTAAAAGTAATCGCTATTTATTACACCCACTACCACCAGGTTGTGGAGAAGCAGACCTCTCTCAACCAGCTTTAAAGTGGTACAGCTTTTTATCTGCTAAGCACTAATATCAATTTTTTAAATTTGTATATTTTTTACCTTTTAAACTATTTTGAAATATTATAGGTTCAGAGGAGGTTAGCAAGATAGTACAGCTAAGTCTTTCATACTCTTCACCCAGTTTCCTTCAGTGGTTTTAACACGATTTTACCAGCCGTGAGATATAATTGATGTTCCATAAATTGTACATACTTAAAATGTACACTTGTATAAGTTTAGACCTATACATACACCTGTGAAATGATAAACACATCCATTACCCCCAAAAGATCCTCCTGCCCTTTTCTATCTCCTCCCGTCTTCCTCTTTTTAAATAAGCAGCAGCCTGCTACCCCAAGCAACCACTGATCTGCTGTCTCTAGAGACTAGTTTGCATCTTCTAGAATTGTATATAAAGGGAAACAGACACTATATACTCATTTTTATCTGGCTCCTTTCACTCAGAGTAATTATTCTGAGATCCATACACGTTGTAGCACACCATTCCTTTTTATTCTGTGTAGATTCTATTATATGAATATGCCACAGTTTATCCATTGCACCTGTTGATGGACATTTGGCTTGTTTAAGACCATTACAACTAAAGCTGCTATGAATATTTACGCACAAGTCTTTACGTGGACACATGCTTTCATTTCTCTTCGAGTGAAATGGATGGATGAATTTAAAATTTTTAGAAAACATCTAAACCATTTTCCAAAGTGGTCGTATCATTTTACACCCACCCCAGAAGTATATAAGAGCTCCTGTTGTACCATATCCTCACCAACACTTAGTATGGTCAGTCTTTTAAATTTTAGACATTCTAGTAGGTGAGTGGTAGTATCTCGTTGTTTCAACATGCATTTCCTTAAACACTAAGTTGGGCATCTTTTCATGTGTTTGACATCTATATATTTCCTTTGGGGAAGTCATCTGTTCAGAGCTATTTCCTATGTTTTATTGAATTGCTTGTTTTCTCACAGAAGTGAAATTTTGAGAATTCTTTAGATTTTGTAGATGCATGTCATTTTTTAAAATTATAGTGAAATATACATAAAATTTACCATCTTAACTATTTTTAGGTGCTCAGTTAAGTACTTTTACATTGTACTATAATCTTCAGAACTCTTTTCGTCTTGCAAAATTGAAACTCTATACCCACTAAACAATAACTTCCTATACTCCCTCTCCCAGCTCCTGGCAACCACCATTCTACTTCCTGTCTCTATGGATTTGACTACTCTGGGTACTCATATAAGCAGAATCATACTGTATTTATCTTTTCTATTCTACTTCATAGAATGTCCTCAAGATTTATCCATGTTGTAGCATGAGTCAGAATTGACTTCCTTTTTAAGGCTGAATGATATTTCAAGTTTTGTTTATTCTTTCGTCTATCAGTGACACCCAGGTTGCTTCCACTTTTCTGCTATTGCAAATAATTCTGCTCTAAATGTGGGTGTACAAATCTCTCTTCAAAACTCTGTTTTTGATACTTTTGGATATAAACCCAGAAGGTAAATTGCTGGATCGTATGGTAATTCTATTTTTAATTTTTTGAGGAAGTGCCATACTGTTTTCTATAATGGCTACACCCAGTTACTTTTTCACCAACAGTGCAAAAGGGTTCTAATTTTTCCATATCCTTGACAACACTTCTTATATTCTGTTTTTATGATCATAGCCATACTCATGGGTATGAGGTGGTGTAAGTCTTTTTAAAATATGTGATTTGCGGATATTTTCTTCCGTTCTGTGGCTTGCGTTTATACTCTCTTAATAGCATTCAAGTAGTTCTCAATTTTGATAAAGTCTGCAATTTTTTTCATGTCATATCTAATGAACTTTTGCATAATCTTATATCACAAAGATCTCTTATGTTTTCTCCTACGTGTTTTATAATTTTAATTCTACGTTTAGGTCTACCATCCATTTTTTAAACTTTATGATCCATTTTGAGTTAGTTTTTGCAAATAACGTTAGGTATAGATCAAAGTTCATTTACTTCCGTATTAGTGTCCAATTGTCCCAGCACCATTTATTGAAAAAACTATCCTTTTTCCAACTGAATTGCCTTTGCACTTTTGGCAAAAAATCTATTAATCATATTCGTACGGGATCTATTTCTGGACTTTCTACTGCATTTCATTGATTTCCTTGTCTACTTTTTTGGTCTCACAACACTATTTAAGTAGCTCTATAATAAGCCTTGAATAATAAGCCTTGAAGCTCAGTACTATAGTTCTGTATACATATAGCTCTATAATAAGTTCTTAAGTTAGGTAATATAAGTCCATTAATTGTTTCTCTTTTCCAAAGTTGTTTTGGCCTTTGCATTTGGTCCTTTGCAATCTCTATGAACTTTAGAATTGGCTTGTCAATTTCTAAAAAGAAAGTTGCTGTTGGGATTTTGGTCGAGTAACTGTATTGAATCTATAAATCAATTTGAAAATAATTGCTATCTTAAAATCATTGACTCATCTTATCCATGAACATAATATAGTTCTTTATTTATTTAGGTCTTTAATTTCTCTCAGCAATGTTTTGTAGTTTTCAGTATATAGGCCTTGCACATAATCGGTCAGATTTATCCTTAAGTATCTCATATTTTTTTGGTGCTATCATAAATGGTATTTTTTTATTTTGATTTCCAACTGTTTATTACTGGAATACAGAAAAAAATGGCTTTTTCTTTGCCATTATTTATAGTAATTTAGTAAATATAATTAATTTATAGTAATTGTAATAAAATGATTATTTAACCATTTTTATAAAATTAATTTATAATAAACTATTATTCTTTATTTGAAATTGCTTTTATTGATCTTAGATCCTGAGATCTTGCTAAACTCACTGATTAGTTCGAGAATCTTTTCTGTAGATTCCATAGAACTTTATATGTTTAGACTCTTGTATTAATGTTCTAGGACTTTTGTAACAAATTACCACAAACCGTGTGGCAGTTTATTCTATTACGAATTCAGTTTATTCTGTCATGTATTTGTTCTGTTAAAAATTCTGTTAAGAATTTTTTCATCTATATTCACAAGGGATATTGGTCTGTAATGTTTTCTTGTCATGTCTTTGCCTGCTTATGGTATCAGAGTAATGGCGGCCTCACAAAATAAGTTGGAAAGTCTTCCCTCCTCTCCAATTTAATGGAATAGTTGTGTAGAATTTGTATTATTTACTCCTTAAGTGTTTGGTAGGATTCGTGAGTGAATTTCTTTTTTGTCAACCAAACTCGACCAATAAGAAAATCGTGCAATTTTTGGAGTACTATGCAACTATTCTAAAAAATTAAATGGAATAATTTGTATAGCATGAGCCTATTTGTATTTTTAAATCCATCTCACATTATGAATTTACATACACGTTTATAAATGCATTTTAATAGCTTTATTGAGGTACAATTCAATACTATACATTTAGAGCATACACTTAAAATGAACAAATTAGTGGTTTTTAGAATAGTCAGAGTTATATATATACAACTATCATCCAACAAACATGCAGCCATCATCACCATCAAATTTGGACCATTTTCATCACCTTCCCCAAAAAACCCTGTAACCAGGGCAGTCATTCCCATGTCTCCCACCCCCTCAGCACTAGGCAAACACTAATGTAATTTCTGTCTCAATAGATTTTTTTCTGGGCATATGAATAAAATCATACAGTGTATGATCTTTTGCGACTGGTTCCTTTAGTTAGCATGTTTTCCAGGTCCATCCATGTTGCAGCGTGTGCCAGTACTTCCTTTTCATTGCTGAATAATATTCCATGGCATGAATGTACTTACTATTCTATATCACATCCATTCATCAGTTGATGGACATTTGTAGGGAGCTAAAGCTCCCCAAATTCAAAAAAGTGCATGGTTTATCTCGGGAGGCCTGCTTGCATAAAAAGGAAAAGGCTGGTTCTGTGGAATTCCAGGAAGAAGAAGATTAAGTATAGATAAAGGGAGTGTCGAAGGGAGTGTCAAAGGAAGTGTCGATTGTACCTTGATCTTCAGGATGTTACTTTAATTATGTTATCTTGGGAGACCAAAAGGAACAGATTATGTATAAAAAGAAGGATAAGAAATAAACTCGGAGAGACAGTTGTGAGATCTGCTCTCCCTCCTGCACCCTGTCTGTCTTCTCTTTTTTCTCAGTCCCCGCTCCCCCATTCAGGTACCCGGTTTGACTTGGTCAGCTGGCTTCCGACAGACATTTGGGTTATTTCCACTTTTTGAGTATTATGAATAATGCTGCTATGAATATTTTCTATTGGGTGAGTATTCCACCTAGGAGTGGAATTTCTAAGTCCTACGGTACCTCTATGTTTAACTTTTTAAGGAATTGCCAAACTGCTTTCCAAAGCAGCTACACCATTTACATTCCCATCTCTCCAGTTCCTTGACAATACTTATTGTCTAGCTCTTTGATCATATCTACCCTAAGGATATAAAATTGTCATTTATCGTGGTTTTGATTTGCATTTTCCTGATGACTAACGATGTTGAGTATCCTTTCCTGTGCATCTTGGCCCTTTATATCTTCTTTGGAGAAATGTCTAGTCAACTCTTTTGCCTATTTTACATTGGGTTATTTGCCTTTTTATTATCTAGTTGAAGTTCTTTACATATTCTTGATTGCTGTTCTTTATCAGATAGATGATTTGCAAATATCTTCTCCCATTCTGTGGTTGTCTTTTCACTTTTTTGATGGTGCCCATTAAAGCACTAAAGTTTTTAATTTTGATAAAACCTAATTCGCTTACTTTTTCTCTTGTGCTTGTCCTATCGAAGAAACCATTGTCTAACCTCAAATCATGACTTACTCCTATATTTTCTCCTAAGAGTTTTATAGTTTTAGCTCTTACATATACACACATATTTTTAAAGGACAGAGGGATACTTATCAAATTGTTAAGAGTGGTCATCTCTGGGGAAGGGAAAGAAATTGGGATTGAGTTAGGATGTGATGGGGATTTTCATTTTTTCTGCCATATATTTCTGTACTGTTTGGATTTTTTTAATAAGCACTGCTTACTTTGATCATTTAAAATAAATAGACTTTTTAAAGGATTCAAAATTGTACATAGTTACACATGGTCAAAAACTAAAAGATATTAGGCAGAAGGAACATATCCAAAAAGCTAGTTATTAGACTCTGCGCGATGGTCGTGTTAGGAAAGGGTTCTTCAAAAATATAGCGTCTAACCTAAGACCAGAAGGTGAAGGTGTACCCTGTATAAAGATGGGAGTAAGAAAATGTTTAGTTGGAAAGATATTGTTGGAGCCTATGGGAGAGAGAGGGATCATTAAAAGAACAACAACAAAAAAAATGCTTTGAACTATCTGGATTGGAGAATGGAAGGGGGGTAAGTAAGGGGAGGGGGACAAGAGGGAGACGGGACAAATATCCTTGTCTACGTTAAGAGTTGTAGGTAGGGGAGTGCCCTGATTAAAAATTTTTTAACGACCACTCTGGGACTATGGAGAGAACGAGGGGAAGGAGCGCGGAGTTCCAATAGCAGACAGTTGCAGGGATCCAAAGAAATGATGGTAGGCAGAGTCGAGCACTACTGGGAAAGGAGAGCAGGGCCTGGTTTGAGAAATCCTTACGACTTGGCGACTGGACGAGGAGCTGAGGAAAACTCAGTGTCCGAGATCGACTCGCAAGTTCCCACGTGACAGCCGAGTTGCCAGGTGGCCCATTAACTAGCTGGGTTAGTAGCAGCGCGTTAGGGAGGACGATGATGAATGCGTTCGGACGTGTGGGTGTGAGTTACCTGTGGAGCACCCAGGGAGGTGTTCAATAGGGCGCTGGATGTAGGGGCTAGAGCTCCGAGAGACGTCGGTGCTGACGGGGAAGGTGGAGTCAGTCCGGCCCTGAACCACTGCCTGGGATCTGGTGAGCCGCAGGATAGAGCGGGACCCGAACCCGAGGTCACACGAGCGGACCCCTCAGAGGCTAAGGACAGCCCCTGAGGCGCGTGTTTGCTACCCGGGTCGGGACGGGGCGGGGGCACCTGCTCCCTCTTCCCCTGGCACACGAGTCTGGGGCCTGGGAGGGGAGCCGCCTCCGGACCCCGGAACCTTCCGCCGCCGCCGCTCGCGTTCGCCGCGGGACCCTTCGGGGACACCGGTTCGCTGTTGCTAAGGGGCGGCCCCGGAAGTGACGCGCCCGGGGTTTGTTGACAGCGGAGGCGGCGGCGGCTGCAGGCTCCAGAGCCGTAGGAGCCGGATCGGGGGAGGGGCCGGGCCCTGGAGCCAGCACCCGGCGGCCCGCAGCCCTCAGGGCAAGGTAACGGCCACGGGGTCCCCCCGGCGCGACCCTGTCCCGCCCGGGGCTCCCGCCCCCGGAATCTCAAGCTCCGCCCCGCCGACCCCCGTCTCCCCCAGACCCTGGCCCTAGCCTGACGAGATCCCCTGCCGGTCCGGGCCGCGTCCTCAGCTCCTCCTCGCCGAGGAAGTATCCCGTCCGCTCCAGGAGGCAAGGGATGTATCTGCGTCCTACCCCTTCCCCTCCTGCCTCCGGCGCCTCAGCATCGCCTCAGCATCGCACCTCCAGTGGACTTGCACAGGTCCATCTCGGCCAATGGTGGGAGGGCTCCCTTCTCTACTGCTGCTGCCAGGTCTGAGAAACGTGCCTTTAAAACTGAGCTCCCTTCCTCCAGAGAGAAAATGACGCCTTGTTGGATGCCACTACAAAATGGGGGATGATGTAGGGCTGAAAGGGTCAGCCCCTGCCCCTCCTACCTGTTGGATGAGTTTAGGTTTCCCCAAAGCGGTGCTTAAAAGCTCAGGGACGGCTTGGGTTCTGGATCAGCTCCTAAAAGGGATGATGACAAGGTGCAGGGAAATGCAACAGGGTGGGAAAGGGATGGGGCGGGGTTGCAAACCTGAGGAACAGGGAGCCTGGTAGGTGAGCCGAAAGTGAAACTGTGCTGGCCACTGTAGCTCTGTGGGTGGAACCTCACTTGGCTGCTCTTTGGCCCAAGGAGTCCAAGATTTCCAGTCTTTGCCTGTGCCTGCCAGCACGTTTGGTTTGTCAGGGGGAGAGGGATGCCTGATGCCTGCGAGGGCAAATCACCTCGTATGATCTTTCCCACAGACTATTTCTCTTCAGGGGTTCAAACAGGTTAGAATGAGCATTGAAGGCAGCTTTGAAAAGGGTCACGGGAGCCTACATTTAGAGCAAGGGGTGACTGCCAGGAGTGAGGGACCTCTCTGTTTCCGTTCGTTCGTTCATTTAGCAAATAATAAACATAATATGTAGGGTGGCCATGGAGGAAAATACAGCAGGAAGGGCCATGGAAAGGGCCAGAGAGTAGAGTCACCTTTCTATAGAGAATGGTCAGAGAAGGTATCTAATTAGTCATATCTGAGCAGTGGCCTGAAGAGAGTGAGGAGCAAGGCATGCAGCTCTCTGAAGGCAGAGCATTCAACAGCAAGTGCAAAGGTCCTGGGGTAGTATACCTGATGATTTTAAGAAACAGCATGAGGACAGAAGGCCTCCAGCAGAGTGAAGCGGGGAGGATTGGTTGATGAGAAGAGTGGGGACCAGATAATGGTGCAGAGGACATCAGGGACTGTGAGGTAAGGTCATGGGGTAGCTAATGGGGCACCCTTTCAGAACTGTACTAACTTGAAGTATCTGGTACTTGGAGAAAATACAGATTTGTTTTAGGTGACAAAAGACCATTGTGCTCTGGCCTTGAGTTGTAAGTACCCTTTTTCCATCTTCATAATGACCATTGATGGAATAAATACAAAAAAGACAGCCACAGAGCACTGTAGTTAGATCATGTCATGCCCCTGCTTACTGGTTGTGAGAACGTGGGCAAGGGAACTTTTTTCATCTCAGTTTCCTCTTCTATAAAATAGGATTATTGGGTTAAACGAGAGATCACACGCTGAAGTGCTTAGTGCATGAACTGGCACATGTTAAGCACTCAATACGTAGCAGTTGTGATCATGACAGCGACGATGAGGAACTGTTTGAATGTGTCTACATGAAAGACGTTTTTTCAGCACCAGCTGGTGGTGTCAATTCAAGTGGATTTTGGGGAACAATTGGGGAGATGTGGTGGAACCTTCCTGTCACCCCTCAGTGGGAACAGTGGTTGCATATCCTGCAGGGAAGATGGTAGCTTGGTCCTGGCTTTTTGACAGCGGTGGAAGGCAATGGAGACTTTTTTTTAAAGAGCTCAGCAAATCCCCATTCTGCCATATAAAATGGGCCAAATGACGGTATTGAAATAAATATGACATGAAGACAGGTTGAGAAGGGCAGTATATGTTGATCTTGGACATATGGTTGAGATGTGTCTGACTGATCTGCTGATGGAGATTGTTGATTCCAGAAGTGCCCAGCAGAGGCTGAGATTTTGCAGCCTGCCTTATAGGGAGTGGAACAGTGGTTCATCTCCCTCCTCACCCCCTAAGCCTGGACTATGTCATCAGGCCTGGGTCATAAACTGAGCTGGGCAACTGGGCCAGAGGATTTGAACATGAAAAGTCAGAGCACTGAGCTGCTGAGAACCAGCATTGCTGGAGCAGGCTGTTGTGGCTAGAACGTCGGAGCAGTGATGTGGGAACCTGGGTTCAATCCCCAGGCTCGTTCTGTGAGCTTGGGCAGTCCCATCCCCTGGCTGGGCCTCGGTTTTCCTATCTGTACACTAACTCTGAAGGCTATCGGGAGGATGAAATGAAACAAGATTGTGAAAGAATTTGGTGCACCCTAAAGCTCTCTACAAAGGTAAAAAGCTATTCTTGTTATTGTTAGTGCCACCAGGATTTTGCAGACATATTCTGGGGGCCCCCTAGGAAGAGGGCTTCAGTACCTCAACTGTTTTGAAGTTCAGAGTCTCCCCTTGGGTCATCTGTTTTGAGATCACCGAAGCTTCAGAAATGAGCAGAAGGGTCTTTCCGAGCATCATTCGTAGGAAATCGTGCAGTAGTTATTGGTTACCACCTTCTTGCCATCATCTCATGGCATGTTCTCAGCAACCCCATGAGGTAGGTGTATTTGCAACACGCTGACAGGTAAGGACCCTCATGAATATTGAGGCTGTAAACATTGCCTGGGCACCTTGGGGAGCTGCGGCTCCTTCATCCACAACCAACCAGTCACACACTCACTGTGTCATGGAGACTCCAAGGATCACACGGGCTCCCTGCCTTAGGAAGCGTCCGGTCCTATGGCAAACAAATGATATATGCCCATGGGATGGTTACCAGCGATACCCAGTCATTCGTGCTCAGTGCCCCAGGACTCTTAGAAGTATAAGAAGGAAGAGCTGAGGCTTGGAGAACCACTTTCTGCCCGTAGCATAATGGGTACCAGGCACTTACTGGGGGACCTTGGGTAAGTCATTACACTTCTGTGAACCACAGTTTCTTTATCTGGAAAACAAAATGATAATACATACTCCCTCATAGGTTATTTGCGGCCTCAGTGAGAACGTGCATGGGAAGCTCTAACCACTGGGCCTTGAACTAATGAATACATGTATACTAATCGGTATGTACGTCCACAGAGTCCGTGGCAAATGATTTGGCCACTCAGAATCTCAGCTGCCTCACACGTACGTTGTGGATTATAATAACGCCTGCCTCGTGTGGTTGTTGAGAGAAGTCACGGAGTTCTTGGAATACGGTGCATAGTATGGGCATGATCATTAAGTTTCATTGGTACCCGGCTATCCCCAAGGCCCCTCTGCCTTCATGTGGCACCAGCAAGCGGTGATGTGCATCCCTTCCTCATTCCATTTCCATATCTTCCTGACATAACCTGCCCTGGCAGATGTAGAGTCTGCAGGATGGCAGCCTCCTGGGATGCCCTCGGATCTTCACCTGTACTCCTCCCCTCAGAGACCCCTGGCACGTGCCCTGAATCCCTTTATGGCAGCCTCCCACCTCCAATATCTGGCCCATGATCCACTCCCTCCTGAAAAGCTTCCAGCCTCTGTAAATAGGGCATTTGTTTGGGTTTTTCCCCTGGCCTTGGGTTAATATTTCATAGGGTGGGTGCTGCTCCAAGGCTCAGAGTTTCTGGCTCCCCTAGCCTCTGTCGGCTGAATGTCAAGACGCTGGCGGGGTCCCATGCTCCCTCCTGGGGACCTTAGTTTCTCTCCCCTTTGTTGCATGGACAGAAGACTTAATGGTTTGGTGAGAAGCATAGGTTTGTTTTAGGGTTGTGTCCCAATCTGAGTTGTGTGATTTCAGGCAAACCTTGTTGTCTTCATCAAAATGTTAACATTCTCTACCTCGGGGTGCTGTAGTGAGGTAACTTGGCCAAAGCAAACCTTTATTTCGTTGATGCCAGGCATGGGCTGGGCACAGAGGATCCAGGAGCGTGCAAGCAGCCGGGGTTCCCGCCCTCCCAGAGCTCACGAGCTGGGGCAGGGTGGGTCATTGGACGAATTTTTACACAAATAATGAATTAGCTGCAAGTACAGTGTCCCAGTGGATGCTGTTTTGTTGGCTAAATAGGAGACCATATAAAATGAAGCTCATAAGGAGCTCGGCGCCATGTCTGGAAGCCACTAACGTGGAGGTGGTGGCTGTTGCCGCTGCCGGCCTCTCCCTTCTCTCCCCACTGTCCACCCCTCCCCAAGATGCCACAGGCTCATGATGGATCCCGTTTTAGAGAACCTGCAGGAGAAGGGATGGAGGAAGACACAGGGTTCTTCTCGCCGCGTGTTGTTCTGTCATAATTGGAGTTTCTTCTGTCCCCAGTCACCAGAATCCCAGGTGGCCGGTGCCTGCCATGACGATAAGGAGCTTGAAGAGGTGGGGTGGTCTGAGATGGCTGCATCTAGCAGGTGCCAGGCTCACGGCTGGAGGTGTCACAAGTGGCACTCCAGCCCTAAGTAACAGGGTCGACACTGCCAAAGGCAGTTAGTAGATGGTGTCATCTGCCTGATTTGTCTTTTGGGGGCTTTCGGTGACCTTGGAAGTCGAAGGGTGGTGTTTCTTCCACCTGGGGTGCAGGGTTAGGACAGAAAGGCTACCTGGGTGCCTGCCACTGGGTACCTAGCATTGTCCTGGGCATAGTGGCAGGGAGGACACAAGAGTGTGCCTTGCCTCCCAGCTTCCACATATGGCACAACCTCCAAGTCCCTCGTCATCCCTTCCACAGGCATATGTTGACACCTGCTACTTGTTAGGCCCACATGGGTGTTCAATGGCCCTTTTGTCCAGCAAATAGTCGTAGAGCTGGGCCTGTGCTGCCAGTGCCCCACACCGACTGTCCTTTTAGCCTGCGCACATCTTGTCCTCTTTCCTAGAACGCCTTTCCCTTCTCTGCCCACCACCAAAGTTAACTATGACTCATCTTTTGGGTCACAGCTGAAGTGTCACTTCTAAGGAAGCCTGCTCTGCCTCCCCAGTCTAGGGCAGGTCCCCGGCATAGGCACCCAGAGCCCCAGGTACCTGCTTGTCCTTCAGAACACTCGTCCCAGTTACATGGGGTAGGTTTGGGTGCTTCTTAGATGACTGGCTGTCACCCTCGAGAGCCAATATGCTCCACGAGGACAAAGCCCTTATCTGGTCTCACTCACCATTGGATGCCCAATGGTCACTAGACAGTTACTGAGTGAATAAATAAATGACCTAGGCTAAGCCCAGGGATGCAATACCAGACAAGACAGCCGGCCGCCTGGCAAGGAAGCCAGATGGTTAAACTAGCATTGATACAAAGTGTGAGTTGTTCCGGTAGGGCCTGTGGGGGCACACAGCAGTCAGGGAAAGCTGCCCGGTGGAAATGATGTTGACACTCTGAGCTGAGGATGCAGAGGCACCAGTTAAATAGGGAGGAGAGTTCTAGGTGGTGTGGGCTGGCATAGTGAGTGTGTGTTTGGGCATAGGACAGTATCTAGAGTAGAAACTAGAATAATTAGTTGAATTTGCATGATCCAAGTTGAAAGAGAAGAGACTGAGCAAAGGTCTGAAAGTGACCCTGTGCTTATGGCCTCTTGCCAGCACAGTGAAGGAGGCTGGGCCAGCTGGAATAGGGGGTCCCTGGGCACCAGGTAGGCCAGTAAGCTGGTTCTAATTTTGGAGGCCTTGAGTGACTGTTCAAAGAGATGAGACTCATCAGTTTCCAACAGGGACTGTCTGCCTGCCAGCTGTGTTCCCTCTGGCTCCAGTTTCCCAGGTAGGAGAGGCTGCTGGGCTCTCGAAGATCTGAAAGTGAATGAAGGCAAAGAAAGGCCATGCCCACGGCCCGGGCAGCCTGTTTATTATGCCTTCTCTCAAGGGTGTCACATAGCCAGGGGGACAGCTGGCACTACGGGCCTCATGGCAGGAGATCCAGGTCTGGAGCTAGGTGGGGGCAGACCTTGATCTACTTGGGGACCCGGGCAGGTTAGGTAAGAGAAGGGTATGACGATGACAATGATGATAATAATAGTTGCTTTTTATTGAGCAGATACTGTGTGCCAGGCACCATGCTAAGCCCTTTATCATTCCATGTTGTCTTCACAAAGAGCTCCCCATTTTAGAGAAGCGATTAAGGCACAGAGAGGTGAAGACACTTGCCCAAGTTCACCTGTTCTTAAGCAGCAGGGCTGACACTTGAAGCTGGGGCAGCCCGACTCCAGAGTTCTTACAGCAAGGTCGCCAGTAAGTGGTGGGACCAGAACCAAGAACTGGGGTTCTAAAGCGCACAGTGCTCTGCGGCTGCCCCCTGGGTTTCCTGAGCAGCCTGGAAGGTTCAAGTACGGACTCCGAGACTCCAAGAAGCCAGGGGCGATGCCGGGCCCTAAACTCCTTCAGAAGCCTCCATGGGGTGATGTGATGGGTTTCAAGAGATAAGACTCAAATCCCAGTTTGAACAGAGCAACCCCTGTCTCTGAGCTCGAGTTTCTTCATCTGTAAAATGGGATCATAACCATTTGTTGTATACTTGTCCTGTCAAGCCTGAGACTAGGCATTTTCCTGACATCTCATTTACTCCCACAGCCCCGTGAAGTAGGAGTTATTATCCCCATTTTCTAGATGAGGAAACTGAGGTCCAACGAGGTTAAGTAATTCAGTGAATTATGGAATCAGGTTGAAACATTGGTCTGTCTGACCATAGAGCCTGCACTTTTAAAAAAGTTTTTTAATCAAAGTATCACATTAGATAAAGAAAAGCCTACAAAGCATGAGTTGACAGTTTGATGACTTTCCACAAGTGAGCACACCTGTCGCAGAACTCCCAGAGGCCCCCCTGTCACTTTCTAACTGCACCCTTGCTGCAAGGGTAATCACTACCCTGACTTTGAACATCATGAATTAATTCTGCCCATTTTTTTTCCCCCTTTCTCATATAGAATCTGGTAGGAAAATGGTTTGCAATTAATTCTGGTCTTTTGATGAACATTCATATGTATGTTTCTGTTGGGTGTATATATACCTAAGGAATCGCTGAAAATTGAGCATATATGTGTCTTCAGCTTTAATAGGTAGTGTCACGCAATATTCCATTTATACTCCCAGTTCACACCAATTCACACTCCCACCAGCAGCGTGGGCGACATCCCGTCGTTCTATATCTTCACTGTAATATGGGCCTGGTATTGCCTGTATTGTTGCTATTCTTTTGAAAAGAACCATTCTGGTGGGTGGGAAATAGTATCTCATTGTGGTTTTATCAATACTAATGAAGCTGAGCCCTCTTCCATATGTTTATTGTTCATTTCTCTAGCTTTCGTGAAATATCTGTTGAAGTCTTTTGCCCATTTTTTAATTGGATGCTATGTCCTTTTGTAAAAGACTGACTTGTAGAAATTCTTTATAATTCTGAATACGAGTCCTTTGTTGGGTATATTATTGGAACTATCTTCTACTCTGTGGCTTGCCCTGTCATAATGCTATCTTTTCATGAAAAGAGCCTTACATTTTGAGGCAGTCTGATTTATCAATTTATCTTTAGGATTTGGGTGTTTTGTGACATATTTAAGGAATTACCTACTCTAAAGCCATAAAGATATTATCCTGTGTTTTCTTCTAGAAATCTTATTGTTTTACCTTTACATATAGGTCTAAGGTCCATCTCAGATTAATTTTTGTGTATGTATGAGCAGAAATTTCTTCGTTTCGGTGCAAATTGACTTACCACTTTTTCCCTTATGAGGCTTATTTAAGAAACCGTGACCTATTAAACTTATTAAACTTATTAAATAGCAGCTTAGCTATTTAGATAGTAGGAGACTTCACATTTTTAATAAGTTTTATTGAGCTATAATTCCTATACCATGCAGTTCACCTATTTAAAATAGATAATTCAGTGGTTTTTAGTCTATTCACAGAGTTGTACAATCAATTTTAGCTCATTTTCATTAATAAGAAACCCTATACCAGTTTGCCATGACTCACATCTTAAAGATCTATTTTTGCTAATCAGTTTCTCAAACTGCAGCTCATTGGAAAAATAATGTATAATGGTATTTGTTTTATTATAGCAATTATTCTTAATAAAAGCAGTATTAATGCAAAAAAAAAAAAAACAACCCAACAACAAAACAGAAAGAAACCCTGTACCCACTAGCAGTCACTCCTCATCCCCACACAACCTCCCAGCCCTAGGCAACCACTAACCTACTCCGATCTCTATGGGTTTCCCTGTTCTAACTGGACACTTCATATAAATGGAGTCATACAACACGTGGCCGTTCGTGACTAGTTTCTTCACTTAGCGCAGTCTTTTCAAGGTCCAGTGTTGTAGCGTGTATCTGTACTTCATTCCTTCTGTGACTGAATAATACTCCATTTTTGTTTATCCATCATCCATTGATGGACGTTTGTATTGTTTGCACTTTGGGCTATTTTGAATAATACCACTATGAACATTAATGTACAGCTTTTTATGTGGACGTATATTTTAATTTCCCTTAGGAGGAGCCTTAATTCTTTATCATATAGAATGAGATGGGTGATAACGTGTCTACAGAACCCTGGCACATACTGAGCATTCAGTGACGGCTGTACTCGGGTTAGGTTACACAGCAAGGGACACCCCAGCTGTTAATGAAAGCTGCTATTATCCCCACCCAAGCGTTAGGTGTCTGCCCACAGACACTGTGAAGGCATAGAAATGCTTAGACAAGGCCCCCTGGTCTTTGCAGGTCAAATCACACATAGATGATGTCATGCAGGGAGCAGCAGGGAGGGACTCAGGAGTCCTGGAGCCTGGCCCTGCTAAGCTGCTATTTTGAGTGTGACTTCTGGGGCCTCAGTTTCCCAACTCAGCATGGACATAGGAGAGCTGGTGGGTCTGGCCCTTCTGTGTGGCTCACCCAGCTTCTTTCGTATTCTCTAGGCTGTGGTTCTGCCAATGATCCTGTGAGTGTTGACGAGTCACCGCTGCCCCTGGAGGCCCCTGTCCTGGAGTGGCCCACCTGCCTGCCCCCAGCATGGCGTCCGACACTCCGGAGTCCCTGATGGCCCTCTGCACCGACTTCTGCCTGCGCAACCTGGATGGCACCTTGGGCTACCTGCTGGATAAGGAGACTCTGCGGCTACATCCAGACATCTTCCTGCCCAGCGAGATCTGTGACCGGCTCGTCAATGAGTGAGCGGGCCCAAGCTGGGCGGGGCACAAGTCTTAGGATGAGCACGTGTGGACAGATTGAGACCATTGCGTGTGCACCTTGTGGGGGTGTGGCTGTGGATATAAATGTGTGAGGGTATGTATGCACGCACGTGGGTGTCCATGGGCGCAGAATACTGGTGTATCCATAACTGTAAAGTTATATGTGTGCGTGTTGGTGCATGTATGGAGGAGCGTGCACGTGAAGGAATGGGCATGTGTACACAGCTGGGCTTCTGCAGCACAGGGTATGTTTGAGTGTGAAACTGCAGGTGTGCATTACACCTGTGAGCAGCTATGGGAACCTGCACATATATAAAGGACTTATGTGCTGTCCCATATGTGTGTGCATACCGGTGACCATAAACACATGTCGATGAGCGAACAAGGTCATGTACGGGTTTACACACCAGTGCCCAAATAATGGATCGATGACTGGGCACTGAGTCATTCAGAAAATCTTCATGTGGTCCCTCCAAGGGAATCCCCACTAGTAGAGGCCTCTAGGAGCATGACGTGTGTTCACTGACTACTGAGAGTTCAGTTGAGATGCCCAGAAGGGAAATCGTTAGGCTAGACAGTTGCATATAAAAGTGGAAACCTGTGTGTGACCTGAGGACAGAGCCTGACTTATAATAACATTCTGAGCATTTAATGTGGGTCAGGCAGCACTGGGTTGGGCACTTTGCAGATTAGACTTACGTCCATTTTACAGATGAAGAAGCCGAGGTCTGGAGAAGTTCAGTTACCTGTGTGAAGTTGCCCAGGTAGTGAACAGCCAAGCAGGACTTAGATTCCAGAGTGTTTGGCACCAAAACCTTTTCCGTCAGACCAGGATTCTTGCAGGAGCTGGATCTCAACAGTGTTTTATTGAGTTCTTGCCTGCACTCAGCTGGGAAATCCAGACCCCTTGGCTTAATCTTCCTGTTGGAAAGGGTCCTGGGAAGGGCTGATCAAGGAACCAGAAGCTGGTTTAAAGAAGATGAGAGATGTAGACATGTGTGTTTGTTACAGAAGTGTCTACAGTTTTGGGGGAAAGAACCTGGGATTTGCTATTGATAAGAGGCCTTTTATTACCAGGAGGTCTACCTTTGGACTCCTGGTTCCTGTGACCACCCTTGATCTCACCTGTAGGGTGGTCGAGATCCAACCAGGTACTATGAGGAGGAGACACAGATTGCTGCTGGGGTGCTCAGAGAAGGAAGGCTTCAGGGGGCAGTCTCGTGCTGGGACTCGGAAGGAGGATGAGGGTCACTGTGCCCCTCCCCTGAGCCAGGCTTTCTTCCCCCGCAGGTACGTGGAGCTGGTCAACGCCGCCTGCAACTTTGAGCCACACGACAGCTTCTTCAGCCTCTTCTCAGATCCCCGCAGCACCCGCCTCACCCGTATCCATCTCCGCGAGGACCTGGTGCAGGACCAGGACCTGGAAGCCATTCGCAAGCAGGTGAGACCTGCCTCGCCCGGTACCAGGGATGGCCGGGGGAGGCTGGCCCCGAGACAGTCAAACAGGGAGTCGGGCAGAGTCGCTCGCCTCCAAGGCAAGAATCCCAAGGCCCCTCTGGTGCTTCCCCCCATCACGTGGACCCCTCCCCAAGCCTACCTGTAGCCTAGGCCCAGGCCTAGGGAAGGGGCTGGGCACTGGTGATGATGGAGCTCTGCCTGGTGCCAGGACCTGGTGGAACTGTACCTGACCAATTGCGAGAAGCTGTCCGCCAAGAGCCTGCAGACGCTGAGGAGCTTCAGCCACACCCTGGTGTCCTTGAGCCTCTTTGGCTGCGCAAATATCTTCTACGAGGAGGAGAACCCAGGGGGTTGCGAAGACGAGTGCCTGGTCAACCCCACCTGCCAAGTGCTGGTAAAGGACTTCACCTTCGAGGGCTTTAGCCGCCTCCGCTTCCTCAACTTGGGCCGCATGATCGATGGGGTCCCCGTGGAGTCCCTGCTGCGACCGCTCAACTCGCTGGCCACCTTGGACCTCTCAGGCATTCAGACGAGCGACGCAGCCTTCCTCACCCAGTGGAAAGACAGCCTGGTGTCCCTCGTGCTCTACAACATGGACCTGTCGGACGACCACATCCGCGTCATCGTCCAGCTGCACAAGCTGCGGTGAGCGGCCGGCCCAGAGCTCGCTGGGGCGGGGGTGGGGAGGTGGGTGCTGTCAGTCCCAGAAGGCTCTCGAACTTCTGGCCAGGCAGGAAGCGGGCATGGAAGAGACAGTCCCATTCCTTAAACCCAGTGTGTCAGCTGGATCAGGGCTGTTTAGGGACCTATGTCTCAGAAGGGTTTTTCCCATAATACGCTACAATAGTTATAGTAGGGGTGGGCCCTGCCCAGCCATGGACTGAAGGAGCAGGGGTCTACGCGGACGCCCCCACCTGTGTCCAGCTCCTGACCTGTGCTCCCCGCCCCAATCTTCAGACACCTGGACATCTCACGAGACCGCCTCTCCAGCTACTACAAGTTCAAGCTGACTCGCAAAGTGCTGAGCCTCTTTGTGCAGAAGCTGGGAAACCTCATGTCCCTGGATATCTCCGGCCACATGATCTTGGAGAACTGCAGCATCTCTAAGATGGACGAGGAAGCAGGGCAGACCAGGTCGGGACCTGCCTGCCATGGTTGCCAGCGGGGTATCATTCGACAAGCATTTACCAGGCGCCCCTCTGCCAAGTGCTATTCTGGGTGCTGGAGATAAACGAATCAGGCCCTGCCCTCTCCGGTCTGTACGAGCTAGTGGGGACAGTCAGGTCATTATCAGGGCTGTGTTAGGGGAAGCACAGGGCTGCCCTGAGAATCCGGAAGGAGGGAGAGGAGGGAGGAATGGTGTCCAAGCTGTCTTGAATGTTCATTCTGAGTTTGCCTTCCTCTGAAGGGTGTTCTAGCAGAGGGAACAGCAAAGGCTGGAAGGTACAGGTGCTAGGAGCAACTGGAAAATTACGAAGCTCGTACAGGCCACAGACAGTGTGGTAGTGTTCAGACGGGGCTGACAGTGTCTACCACTCTTACTTAGGTGTTGCGACAGATAGCTTGGTTCCTGGGTTCGCTGGTTAAGAGATCTGATTCAAACCCATCCAGCTGTAATTGGCCATAGGCCCCATGCCCAACTATACTTTGGCAGGGTTTAGTTGATGGGCGTGTCCCTCTATGATTATTGGTGGAACCTAAAGGTGACAAATCTTCACAAGAATAACAGATAGTATTTTCCAAAGATGGCTACAACGATATTTCCCATCTCATATGTTCTTCTACAATGTGACCTTGCCACCCATCAAGAGGTGGAGCTTATGTCCCTTGCCTTTTAAAAGAAGAAAAAAAAAAAGATGAGCCAGAGGGCCTAGAAGAGGGCCCCTAGTAAATGCCTAGCCACCCCAGGGCGAGGCCCACCTTTGTGCTGAACCCAGGGCAGCGGGGCCCTAGGCCACTGACCGCAGCACCCTCTTCCCCCAGCATCGAGCCTTCCAAGAGCAGCATCATGCCGTTCCGGGCTCTGAAGAGGCCACTGCAGTTCCTTGGGCTCTTTGAGACCTCCCTGTGCCGCCTCACACACATTCCTGCCTACAAAGTGAGAGGGGAAGGGGAGGAAGGGGGGAGCAGGGTACCCCGGAAGCGGGAAGCGGGAGGCCCAGGGTGTCTGCCCTGGGGCTAGAGACAGAGCTGAGATCTGAGGATCCCACCACTTGGCCTCTTCCGCGTTGTTCTGAGCTTGCTTCATCCCCAGGTAAGTGGTGACAAAAACGAGGAGCAGGTGCTGAATGCCATCGAGGCCTACACGGAGCACAGGCCCGAGATCACCTCACGGGCCATCAACCTGCTTTTTGACATCGCACGCATCGAGCGCTGCAGCCAGCTTCTCCGAGCCCTGAAGGTCAGCCCCAAGCCTGGGGGCAGTGGAGGTCTTCGGGCTCCTGTCTGTCCCCACCTGGAGGGCGTTGGACTTGGCCGAGCCATGTGCCCAGAGCCCCTGTCCCTCCTCCACCCCATCCCCAGGATACCGGAAGTCCTACCTCCCAAACCCCAACCCCACCCCGTCACATCCCACTTGCCTTGTCCCAGAACCATGGCCCCGTCTGCGCTCAGAGAGCTGGATCAGAGGGCCTGTCCCTGCACAACTTCAACAGGGCCTGCCAACATGGCCCCTGTCCCCTGTCTTCATGTAGCTGGTCATCACGGCCCTCAAGTGCCACAAGTATGACAAGAACATTCAAGTGACAGGCAGCGCCGCCCTCTTCTACCTGACCAATTCCGAGTACCGCTCAGAGCAGAGCGTCAAGCTGCGTCGGCAGGTCATCCAGGTGGTGCTGAATGGCATGGAATCCTACCAGGAGGTGACGGTGAGCCCCCGACCCGCCATGGCCCTGCATGCTCTGGCCCTGCTCCCCTTTTCCTGCTCACCCTGCGGCCCCGCCTGCCAGCCAGCTTGCAGATCAGGGTGCCATGCTTGCTCCCACCCTTTCTTGCCTGGCTCTGCACTGCCCCCTCCCCACTCGCTTTTCCCACACCATCACCCCTAGATGCTGGGACCTGGCTTTCAGGGCCCCCTAACCCAACCCCGCCACCCACTACCACCCTCCACCCAGAGACCCTGTTCTCCTGCCTCTGGGCCTCTGCTCGTGCTGACTCCTCAACCCTTCTGCCCAGTAACACTCTGCTGGGGGCTTTTTTTTTTAAATAGCTGTTTTTCTTATAAAAGTAATAAAAAAAATTTGCTGCAGAAAAATTATGATTGCAGATATAAAGAAAAAATCCCACCCATAATCCTGCCACCCAAAGATAGCCACCGTTAAAACTGGGTGTCTGTCATTCTGGATTTTAGTGTGCATATTTATTTAGTAAATGGGCTCACTCTGGTGATGCTTGTGTAATGTGGACTTTCATTTCAACAATGTCTTGTGAATGTGAACCTCTCCCATATCAACATTTTACAACAAAATTTTTTAAATAGCGTCTCTTTTCTGATTACAGAAGATACCAAATGCTTAGAAAACAAATTCAACTAATACGAAAATGTATTAACTAGAAAGTAAAAGTTATTCATAATGCCAGCTGTCCTCTCCCAGAGAGCTGGTTTTAATGGTTCAGTTTCATAATCGTTGGTGTCAGCATAGTGTTCAGCATCCTCATCCAGGGAGAGGCCACTCGTGCTGACTCTGTGCTGGGGCTCAGAGGCAGTAGCCGAGCCCCGGCCCCACAAGGAGCCCCAGGAAGGGGCTCCCCTCAGTGTATGGGCTGCGGTTATGGAATCAGCCCCAACGGTTGAACATTTAGGTTGGTTTTTTTATTTTTTGCCATTTCAAATAAGGCTTTCCCGGCGATACTTAATTGATTATCCTTATGCTACATGTCTAAAAGTGGAATTGCTGGGGCAGTGGGTATGTGTATTTTTAAAGCATTTGGTATGTAGTCTCGAACTGTCCTCCAGAAAGGCGATGGTGGGGCTATAGCCTCCGAAGGGGTGAGAAGGCCCACTTTCCCACTGCCTGCCAACTCCAGACCTGAGGACAACTGGTTTTCACATTGAGGTTGATTTTATAATCATTTTATAATTGAATTTAAAGGGGCCTCTTTTTTTAATGAAAAAAAAAAAATACTAGTTAAAACTCTCAAATGCATTAATAAACTATCAAAGAAATGGAAATTAAAATAACAAGATGTCATATTTCATCTCAAGAGATCAATGACACCCGACGTTGACAAAGGTCGGCATAGGGCACTCTTAAACTTTCTACTAGAGAGATTCAAATGGAACAGCTGTTGTGGAGGGCCGCTGGCAGAACCTGCCAAACCTATAAATGCGTTTCTCTTTTAGCCTTGGTATTGCACCATCAAATATTCTTAGGGGAAAAAGCTATACATACATCCACCCTTTTTGATTAAATAGAAACAGAGGAAACCAAAATGTTTTAGTAACGGGCCTGGAAAAGTAACACGTGATCCACCCACACAGTGGCACATTATGATAAATTGTACATCCTAACGTGGAAGGATGTCCACTGCATATTGATAAGAGAAGTTTTAGACCAATTTGTATATCTTTTTTTTGGCTCTTCTCTACCCAAATATATGTTCGTATTTGCATAGTAGAAAAATCTAGGACGTACACCAAACTTTTAACAGTGATTCCTTCTGGGGAATGAAATGGGGGAACTTTAACTTTCTTTTCAGAATAGTATTATCTGAACAGTGAGCAAGTATTACTTTTATAATTTAAAATAAATTTTTTTCTCAAATTAAAAAAAATATGCAAATTGGAAGAAGACAAAGAGTTAACCAGGGGTGATATCCTCTAATTTAAATAATTAATAAAACATACCGAACTTCCAATATCTAACGAGAAAGGATGGAAAGTAATTAAATTACAAGGAAAATGAGCTGAGAACACTAAAAAAAATATAAACTTACCAACATCGCAAAGAGAAATTGAGGATCTGAAGCAGCTAGAACTCTCCTGCACCACTGGTAGGAGTGTAAACTGGTTACAGCCATTTTACAAAACAGTCTGGTGTTACCTGGTAAAGTCGAAGACATGAACACACACCTTAAGACCCAGAAGCCCCACCCATGTGTGTGTGCCCTAGAGAAGCCCATGGGCTCGGAAACCAGGATGCGTGTATAAGACATTATTTAAAGTAGTCAAACACTGAAGTCCACCCAGACATACAGCAGCAGTGGAATGGATGAATATGGAATGCTATACTGCAATGAAAAAGGAATTGGAATGCTATACTGCAATGAAAAAGGAATGCATTTCAGCTGCTTATAGCAACATGCTTGATCTCGCAAACCTATAGTTGAACAAAAAAGAAGGTGCCAGAGAGTCTTTTGAATAAAATATCAGCGATAGTGGGTATCTATGATCAGAAAGGGACATCTGGAGACTTCTGGGTGCTGGCAGTGTTGTATTTCTTGACCTAAATGGTGGCTACACAGTTGTTGGAAAGCTTGTTTGCTTTATAAATATTTGTAAAACTATACATTTGTACTTTATCCACTCTTCTGTATACTACATTTTACATTGTTTTTTAAATGATTTTTAAAAAAGCCTTGTAGTCTCCTTTCCAGAAAGCCTTCCCGGACACGACAGCCCCGGATGCTCTCTCACCTCTTAAGAGCCCCTCGAGTCCAGCTCGAGTCCACCCCTGACTCCGCTCCGCTTGTCTCTGTCCCGGCCCAGGTCCAGCGGAACTGCTGCCTGACCCTCTGCAACTTCAGCATCCCCGAGGAGCTGGAGTTCCAGTACCGCCGTGTCAACGAGCTCCTGCTCAGCATCCTCAACCCCACGCGGCAGGACGAGTCGATCCAGCGCATCGCCGTGCACCTGTGCAACGCCCTGGTCTGCCAGGTGGACAATGACCACAAGGAGGCCGTGGGCAAGATGGGCTTTGTTGTGGTGCGTGCGGGCAGGCTGCCCCTCCCTGCCTTCCTCCCTTCCTCTTCCTTAGCCCCGCTGCCACACGAAGGAGTCAGCCTAGACCAAAGGAAAGGTTTCCCAATAGCGAATGTTGCTTATGACCCCCATAGATTTCCTCCAACTAGAACATTCTGTCATTCTCTCCTGGCCCTTCCATTAACCCATTAGGTTCCACTGCATAAGTCACTCCTGCCTCCTCAGACTGATACCTCTTCCCAACTGGGATTAGATAAGAGTCTGAGGGACTAGCTGTTTGATGTTGGCCTTGCACCGGGCTGTGAACTCCATGGGGAAAGACTCCATACTGTCCCTCCCATCCTTACACCCCCAGCATTTCCTCCACTTCCTCTTGTAGGGCCTGGGATGCAGCAGAGAGAAAAATATTTGCTGAAAGGAAGGAAAGAACGAGGAAGGAGCATCCTGTCTCTTCATTTTTATCACTGGGGAGGCTGAATTCCGCTGAGGGGGAGGCCCCAAGCCACACAGGGAGTTGGGGTGGCACCGGGACTAGCACCCAGGCCTCCCGATGCCAAGTCTGTGGGTTGTACTTTTTCAAACAGCCTCCCAAATAGACAGGCAGATTTGATCTTGTCAGGATGTATTAGCCAGGAGCAGAATTGCTGATGCTCCTTCTCCATCTTGGTTCTTGGGGGCTATGGGGTCTCTTGAGGCCTGGCCCCAGCAAATTCTCTTCTCCTCCCACAGACCATGCTGAAGCTGATTCAGAAGAAGCTTCTGGACAAGATAGTAAGTCATAAGTCTTCATGGACCTGCTCTGCCCTCCCGCAGCCTAAGAGAGGCTGGTCCATATGGGGCTAGTCCCTAAGAGGGGAGCGTCTATATGTTGTGAGGGGCCCCCGTCACCGGGTGCCAGGAGCCCACGGGTCCCGCCCGGGGGAGCCGGTGCTGAGCCCCACCCCTCCCTGCCCACCTTCAGTGTGACCAGGTGATGGAGTTCTCCTGGAGTGCACTGTGGAATATCACAGACGAGACACCCGACAACTGCGAGATGTTCCTCAACTTCAACGGCATGAAGCTCTTCCTGGACTGCCTGAAGGTAGTGCCTCCCTGCAGCGGCAGCCTCCCAGGCCACCCATGCAGCCATTCTCCTGTCCCCAGGCTGCCCACCAGCCAAATCCATCAGCAGCCCCTCTTCCCGTGGCCCCCATGGAAGGGCAGTGGCGGACAACTCTCAGGCTCCCTCCCCCCCGCCCAGGATTTGCTGCAGACAGAAGCTCCAGACACCTCCCAGGTGGCCTGGCTGGGCCCTCTCTTAGAGCCCTCCCTCCAGAGAAAGGCCAGACCCACCCTTCTTGGCAGTGCTTCCTCAGACGCCCAGTCTGGCTGGGGTCCACTGGGAGATCAGCTGGACAGGATTCTGTCCAGTAGGGTGGACAGAACTCATCTCTTGTTTTCTTGCTCTAGTTTCTAAGAGGATCTTGTGAAACTAATATTTTGAGCTTTTGTAAAAGAACCATGTTTGTCCCATTTACAATTTTATAGGTCTCACTCCCACTCAGACTTTGATTTTGTGGCAAGGAGCCCCCACCATTTTAGACCCTTATAGTGTGTACCCAGCACTATCCTGGGTGCACTAGAAGGTAGGACAACATATTGCACCCCCTCTTTGTCTAGTTAGACACTCGTAAAGCATCTAGGTTAACAATACCACATACAATTAAGTACTAATTGATGTAGCCCAATGGCTCTCATTTGGCCAGGAATTTCCAGAGAAGCAGGAGCTTCATCGAAATATGCTGGGACTCTTGGGGAATGTGGCAGAGGTGAAGGAGCTGCGTCCCCAGCTAATGACTTCCCAATTTATCAGTGTCTTCAGGTTGGTACTTCTCTCCTTTACCTTTTTGCCTTGGTTGCCAGGATGCTCAGAGCTCTAATTTATGCTCAATGGCAACAACTGCTCTTAGCCTAGGTTTCTCTTATAAATGCCGCTTTCCCTTTATAATGTGGTTTCTTATTCTTTCAACCCTCATAAGTAGTCTTCTCACCGATAAATCTTATCTTAGTGACCCCGGGGCCCTTTTAGAAGTCATCTGGGTATGGCTAGTAAGTGATAAAGAAATCAATAGTACCTCTGGCATATGGTTTGTAAGATAGGGTCCAGCAGCTGGTATCTGAAGAGGGACTCAGAAGGAATCGGACTCCATTTTTCGCTCTCCTTGGCAGCAACCTGCTGGAGAGCAAGGCCGACGGGATCGAGGTGTCCTACAATGCCTGTGGCGTCCTCTCCCACATCATGTTTGATGGGCCAGAGGCCTGGGGCATCTGTGAACCCCAGCGGGAGGAGGTGGAGGAGCGTATGTGGGCAGCGATTCAGAGCTGGGACATCAACTCACGGAGAAATATCAATTACAGGTGCGGAGTGGGGAGGGCGGGGTGAGTGCTGAGACAGGACCCTTATTCCCAGCATGGCCTGGCCAGAGCTTGCCTTTCTTCTAGTCCTCTGTCGGGTCTTCCTTACTGAGGTGAAGTCCACATATGGCACCGAGAAGAAAGGCACACAGCTCAGCTATACAGCTTGGTGCATGTGTCATTCACGTCGGCACCTGCGTGTACCCAAAGCCTGCTGTTTACAAACATCCGATACGTGTTTATTTGTGAGAAAATACAGACACGCAATAGGAAACAAAACAGAAATCATTTATAACCCCATTCGCTGGAAGAACCCCTGCCAACGTGCCGGCGTCTCCCCTGCCAGCAGTTTTTGTACGCACAGATTTACTTACCTTCAGTCCAGCTGGCATAGTCATTCTATCTTGTGACTGAATTTCCAGCCACAGATCTGGGTCTCCCTCATCATGTTTTGACTGGGTCACCTTCTGTGTGTGGATAGCCCATCTTGTACTGATTGACACTGAAGTTGAAAACCCACATTGGGAGGAACGGGCTCATGCTCGTGGCCAACACTCCAGTTACGTCGTTCCCGAGGGGAGATGAAGGGAAATCAGTGGCCCAGGGCGTTTGCACATACGTTTTTCAGGCTTTGGGACATGACTGCAGAGATGGCCGGTAGGAGGCCACTGTAAGAAGTGCAGTCCCCTTTCTTCTGCTTCCCTGGGTGCTCCGCCCCCCACCCTAAGCTAGGTCTCCTCCGTACCGAGGCCCCCAGCTTCTGTGCCACCTAACCTGAGTCCTTCCTACTCCCTTACACGTCCGTGCTCTTGACCTGTCTCACAAGGGGGCTCCCTTTGTGCAGCCTGAAGCAGGCTGGAGGGCCAGACGCCCTAGGTCCCCTGCATCCTGCTCGCAGTTTGTCCGTAGGGCCCTCAGGAAGGAGAAACCCCAACAAGGTGCACTCTCCCCACCCCCGTACCAGAGGTGACCTTGATTTCTCTTCCTACAGGTCTTTTGAGCCAATTCTTCGCCTCCTTCCCCAGGGCATCTCCCCCGTCAGCCAGCATTGGGCCACCTGGGCCCTGTACAACCTTGTGTCTGTCTACCGTGAGTACTCACTCGCCCTCCATTCAGACACAGGGACACTCACCCAGCTAAAAGCAGACTTGCCCTCAGAGAGCCCGTAATACAGGCTGGGGACCACCAGCAGAGCCGGTTCAGTCTGTGCCTCTGAGCACAGCCCTCTGCCCTCCAGCATTTGTGGGACACACAGCATAGTGGTTGGCGCCTGCCCCATGGTTGGAGAAGGCCTGCAGGCGAGATGGCCCGTCCAGAGTTCCCAGACAGCTTTCTTAATACCTCCTGCTTCCAAATGAGTAACAAGTCAAAAATCTCCACACCTTCTATACAACAGAGTAAGACGTACCCAAACAAAGAACTAACCCCTAAGGAAACACATCCAAGAGAACAGGAGAGAACTTTAAAACGGATCTCATTTCCCTCAAAGAGAGTCCTCCCCTCCTGTCCATCTGAAGAACCTGAACTGTCCTCTGCTAGGTGGCTTTGAAGGAGAGGACAAAGAAAGTACAGTGCCAAGAGTCTTTATGACAGACCAGGTGTGACCCCTAGTTCTCTCTTACTTGAGGTCAGGTGACCTCTTACAGGTTCTCTAACCTCTCTGGGCCTTTGGTTTCCTCCTCTGTAAAGGGGGAGTAATGACAACACCTTCCTCGCGAGATTGATGTGAAAAGAGAACCCACATAAAGCTCCAAGCCTGGCACCTGGGTGCCGTTCAGTCCTGTAACCAGCAGAGTGGACAAGAGTGCCGGCTCGGGGGACAGACTGCCTGGGTTTGAAACCTGGCTCGACCACTTTCTGTGTTACTTTGGGCAGATTTCTCAACCTCTCTGTGCCTCAACTGCCTCATCTTTAAGCTGGGATAACAACACTTACCTCACAGAATTGCTGTGAAATAAGACACGTAAAGTGCTTAGAACATACTACATACCAACACGTGTGCACTAACTGTTCAATAAGCATTAGCCTTTTATTATTATTATTATTATTATTTGAGATTAGTCTTACCAAAAAGTAGCACCTTGCCTCAAAGAGGCAGCGTAGCACAGAGGAAAGAGCCCCGAGCTGGGACCCCCTCAGACAAGCTTCTGGAGTGATTCTGGATGAATAACTTCATCCTTCTGAACCTCAGTTCTTTCATCTGTCAAATGGAGATAATAAAAACAGCTGCCACTACACGGAGCTGCTGGAGGGAGGTCCACCGAAATGCCCACGTCCTCCATGGAGTGTAAACCCTGGAGATACCAAGCACCACCATGTTCTCTGTTGGAGTAAACCATGAACCCACCCCATAAGAAGGCGCAGTGGTTCCATCCTGGCTGGTCACCAGAATCACCTGGTAGCATTTTATTAAAAATGCAAACAAACAGTTCCCGGATCTGTTGCATCAGAATACCCAAGGGCAGGGCTTAGGAATCTGTATTTGTACCAAAACTTCTCAGAGACTAGAAGCCACTCGTTGGGGTGATATTTTCCATAGGGTGAGCTCTGGCGAACAAATTCTACTGCTTACCAAAATAGGGAAGGGCCTTTCCCAAAGATTCACCCCAGTGGACTCCAGGCTGGGCAAGCACAGCTCACCCGAGTCTGCGGCAGTGCCACTACCCAAGCCTGTGCCTTTGTCACACCCCTCTGGGAAGGCAGTCCTGGCAGCAGGGGTGGGTTTCTGGGCCCCTGGCCGAGGGAAGACCCACCCTGACCCCCTGCTGTCTGCCCCTGTGTTCCCCACAGCGGACAAGTACTGCCCCCTGCTGATTAAAGAAGGTGGGATGCCCCTTCTGAGGGACATGATCAAGATGGCGACTGCACGGCAAGAGACCAAGGAGATGGCCCGGTAAGAGGCAGGCAGTGTTTCTGCTGGAGCCTTGATTTGGGGGAGTGAGGGACGCGGCGGGGCCCCCTGGTGGTCAGGAGTGGCCAAACTCCCCTAAAGTTGGGGTTCCGGCTGGGGCCAGAAACTAGATGATCAGGCCCTCTCGTTTGTAGGCTTCATTTTCTTTTATTCCCCCAAAATTCCACCCTCTCATGACTGGGCATCAGCAAGTCAGGTCAGAATTATTTCTGGCCAAACACATTCCAACTAAAGAGAGGACCCTGGTAAAATACAGTCCAGAGATCAGGTAGGCAGAGTATAAATGAGTGTGAACGTGAAGGTCCCATTCAGAGTTGTCAGGCCTTTCATTGCTGTGCGGTTTTCACTACAGAGTCTAAAATATCACCAGTCCTGACCTCCCACTGATCAGTACACAAGAGACTCTCTGATGCTGCATGTCGCAATCAGCAGTAACGACCTTGCTTTCCCCAGGATCCATTCTACAAGGGAGTGTAGTTAAGTTTGCCCCAGTTCTAAACACCATGTAGGGTAAAGCGTGGATCACAGATCAGGGGCCTGGAGCACAGAGGCTCCCAGGACATGGCTGGGCTGGCGAGCGTCAGCTGTTTCTGCAGTTCTTTTTGGCAAAAGGCACTGCTTAAACATTAATTGACAGATTCGTCTGAGTTTGAGAATGGTGAAATGAATGGTGCTCACAATCTCCCTAGAGAATCATCCGAAAAGACCATTAAAAATGTACAGGCCCCAGGACAGATCTTCTGTCCCAGGGAGTCTGGGAGGTGGACCTGGGAACATTCATTGTCAACAGGGATGCCAGGAGATTTGAGAAGCACTGGCTAAGACTGACCCGTAACCTACCCCAGGCACTATAGATGCCTCTGTGAGACCCGAGACGTCCATCTGAGTGGGCCTGTCTGACAGCACCTGTGAATGACAGACACTGAGAGGGAGCTCTGGAGAAGTCACTGCGTCATCACAACTCCTGTCCCACCCCAGGCATCCCTTACTTCCTGAAATGCCTCGGGGCACCTCTTAGCACAGAGAGGCTGCAGTGAACACCACCACCCACCCACCCCAACCAACCCAGAGGCTTAGTGTTGAATGGGAAGGTCATTCAAGGTCCAGGGTGACACCTGACAGCAGCGGGGCAACAGTTCCCAAGGGCCAGACTGGAGCAGGCGCAAGACCCGAGCACGAGCCGTGGTTTCCAAATGCTGCGCTGGGGACTGGCTGCTGCAGGGCGTCCGGGGCCCCTGCAAGCCCTGCTGCCCTGGCCGCACTCACACCTCCGGGTGAATCTGCTGTGCAGCGAGTCTGGGGACCATTAACAGACTTTTGGGAAGGAAGAGGCCTGGGTATGCAGGGGAAAGTGAAGAAGGAAGACAGGATCCGAGGGTTTTGCAGGTCAGGCCTGAGCCGATTCAGGGGATCCTCTAACCCCGGACGCCCTGGGGCTGAGAGGTGGGGAAGGGGGACGTGGGGAGGAAGGCGGGGAAAACACGGTGCTGATAGAATTCACGGCCACGGTACCATTTCCTGGGTGCCCTGCGCATACTGGTCACTCGGCCAGCCACTTTGTACACGTCATCTCAGTCAGCATCACCGTTAACGTTTGCCAACAAATTCAGCAGCCCGATCGGCCAGCTGGGAGGGACAAGGGCCACCCCGACTCAAGCCCGCCTTCCACTCCTCTCTCTCTCGTTGTCTCCAGAAAGGTGACTGAGCACTGCAGTAACTTTAAAGAGGAGAACATGGACACGTCCAGATAGAGGCCTCCGCCCGTGGCCGCCAATGCTCTGGACCGCCAGGCCCGCAGGAAGCACTCTCAAGCAGCCCAGCTGGCAGACCCCCACTCGGGAGCCTCCCACTGGACGAAGGGACACAGGGGGACTTTTGCACAACCGACGCTTTTCCTTAACATTAGTGAGATATATATATTATATATATATATTATTTTTTTTTGTTAGGAAGTGTGAAGTTTTGTGTGTATGATTTCTGTACAAAAACAAAAGAAACACTCCCTGAGTCCTTGCAGCTTCCTTGGCCATTCTCAAGCCCCAACTTCAAAGCCTTCGTCGCTGCCACACTCACGCCTACCCCTGCCAGACTCAATGCCTCTAACATTGTGAGTGTCCGGTCTTTTCCCAGTGATCTCCGACCCTGGCCTCGCTTCCTGTTACGAGAGGCAGCAGGCTTCGGCAGCCCCTCCAGCACCCTAACCCACCCGCCAAAGCCTGAGAACCTCATCTGGCTTCCTGGGGGTGGCTGATAGGGTTTAGGGATTCAAAGTAACCCCACTGGGTCTCCCAAATGCCTTGGTGCTCCCAGCTGTGGGCCATCTGGGCCAAGGAAGTGAGCCGTGCCCAGGCCTGGGCCCAGGCAGCCTCCGCCCCAGAGGTCTCTCGAGGATCGGGGCTCACAGTGGCCCTGCTGCTCTCTGGCCAGGCCCCCCTGAGGCCACGCTGCTATGGAGGCTGCCTCCTAGTCTCCCACCAGGTCCCAGGCTGTTGAAGGCCCCAGCCCAAGGCTGGTCAGAACTCAGGCAGATCCCACTGCTCCTTCTGCCAAACATACCCAAGACCTGCCCCCAGCTCTGGAAGCCAGCACCTTCTGGGGCCCGGGGCTTGCTCCCTTACTCCCCAGCCCTTCATCTGCCCACAGCACCCAAGGTGCCCAGGCACCCCACCAGCAGAACTGAGCCTGCCCCATTCGCCCCTGCCTGCCCCGCAGCCCAGAGGACCCCTCACCTCTCACAGGCAGAGGCTCCCCACGCCAGCCTTTCGAGCGGCAGCAGGCGGATGCCTCCAGACCAGCACTTGGCACATCCTGCAGGGAAGCCCCTCCCACCCTGCCTCCTGCCTTTACCTTGAGAACCTCTGGGCTGCATTTCAGAGAAGTATGAAGCCCAAATGTATCTCAGAATAGCTTGTTCTCCCTCCGAATTGCTCCTCGTGGGACAGAGGTGGGTGAGGAGGCCCCTTTAGGACCAGGAGCAGGGTTGACTCTGCAGGCGGCCCCTGGGGCCAGGTTCCTCCCTCCTCCTGCCCTGGGCCTGTTTTTGGATTCTCCTGGCATTTCTGTCTCCAGGCAGAACAGGCCAGAGCTGCAGCCCAGGGGCGAGGCGCCTGGCCTTTTTCCCCTGGAGTCTTTCCCTTTCAGCCCTGGGCCACAGCTGCCTGGTGTTCCCCTAGCTTGGCAGATGGGCCACAGCTGCCCCTCCCTTCCATGCTCTCGTGGCCTGAGCCAGACCCCAGGCAGAGCTCACATCGCATTGCTTTACCACCTGGGGCCTGGGGAAATGTCTGTACTGTGGGATATCACAGAAATACATTTTTGTGCAAAGTGGAGAAGAGCAGAGTGTCTTTCTTTGCGGAAGGGGTGGGATCAGGAGAGGCTTGGGCCGGCTGGGGCAGAGGGCCTTGAGTGTGCTGGGAGGGTGCATGGTGGGTTTCTGTGCCTCGCCAGCAGCCTGGGAACAGATGGCAGATGGGGCTGGAGTGCCTGTTCCCTCCACGTTCTCTCTGCACCCCTGTGCCCAGACGCCGAGGGCATAGCTGGCCACAGATCAGCCAGGACGGCGGACGGCTCGATCTGATAGTAGGTGTGAGATTACAATCCAGTGCAACAGGCAAGAGGACAGAGTGGGCACCTCCTGTGGGCTGGTGGGAGTGTGCAGAGGGTCAGGGAAGACGAGTTAGCTGGGCCGCACCATTTCAGGGAGTGGGAAGAGCCCATGTCGAGGTCAGAGACAGCGTGGCATGCCCGATGCAGTCAAGGAGGCTTCTTGCAGGAGGAGATGCGTGAGCTGAATGCAGCAAAAAGACCAAGCTGCCAGGCCAGGTCATGGGGCGCCCGCGGCAGAGGGCCCTGCTAGGAGAAGGGCCTTGCGGGGAGAACCGTGAAGCACCCTGGGTGGCTGCAGCAGAGTGAAGGAACGAGGGTGCAAGCAGGAGAGGTTGGAGAAGTCGCTGCGGCCAAACCGTGCGGTGACCAGACGCTGGCTTTGCCCAGGACGGTTCTGGTTTACACCTGCTGTCCCTGTGTGACTATCAGCAGTGCCCTCGGTGCCCCTGAGGTACTCCTGAGGTTGCACCCAATGAGGGAGGGCTATTCTCAGTGCTGGTACCTGATCAAGGGGGCCGTTCCCACACATGCCAGGCAGGTGCGGGCCCAGTGCCCAGAGAAAAACGTTCTCAACTTGACCAAATTTTAGCCAGGCTCCTCCAAGCTCTCTTTTCAACTAGGCCTCAACCTTGACCTATAAATACTACACACTCTCAAAACAAGTGATTTCATCTGCCTCTCTCCCTCCACATGAAAAGACTTAAACAAACACTGACACACTCTCTAAGAGTTCAAGGTTGCATCCCTAGGATGCCCGTGGCCCCCCTCCCCCTTAAAGTGCCTGCCTGAGAAAGCTCAAGGGTGCCAAAAGAATGTACTGTTTATTTTAGCCACCATATGACTATGGGCCCCACACAGCACGTAGTTATAGAGCATTTACTAAAAAGTCCTTATAATTGTGACTCCTCTGTATTTGTATCTTCTGCTACTCAGGAGTGTCTTTCTCAAGAAAGCCATCCCTTTGAAATGTAATCCTCAGGAAAGATGGTGCCTCTGTCTCTCAGTCTCTGTGGGACAGAAGCCTAACTTCAGTTACTGCCAGCTAGCAGACACGGCAGGCTCAATCGGCACTTACACTGACCAACCCTTTGTAATTTTTCACTTCCCTGAGTTGGCTTAAGCCCTCACCATTCCCTCTCTTTATTTATTTATTATTTTATTTATTTATTTTCTTAGGCGAGGCAACCCTTGGTTGACCTCACAGATTGCAAGGACCTTGTCGGCTTACAATCCCTTATTTTTTATTTTTTACGCCGACTGTACCTGATCATCCTAGGTGGTCTCCCATCCGAGTACTAACCAGGCCCGACCCTGCTTAGCTTCTGAGATCAGACGGGATCCGGCTTATTCAGGGTGGCATGGCCGGAGACCTGTTCCCTTTTTAAAATGCCCAGTCGCCAATCTCTTCTCAGCCTTTTGGCTAAGAACAAGTGTAGTATCAGTTCTTATCAGTTTAAAATGCCCAGTTACCTCTGTACAAATTAAAGTGGCATTCGGTTCATGCTGGACCCTCTTTCTTACTGCAATAGTATATTACTGATTAAAATCTGTCCTTACCACTTTAACTAGTGTCCAACACTTTTTATCTTTGACACCAGCATAGTGACTGACTCATGGAAGCTTCGGGATTATTTAAGTGGATAATGTGCTAGAGTTCCCCACTCAGCTAAATCCTGTCCCGTTGCAGTAATCAAGACTGAGTTACAAGTGACAGACACTCAAACACCTACCCGGGTTAATGAAAAGTGGGAGGGAATTCATTGCCTAATGCAACTGGGGCACCTAGAGCCAAGATCAGCTTCAGGCATAGCTGGATATAGGGGCTGCAGCTTATCTCTGTCTCTTTATAAGTTGGCCTCATTCTCTGGCACAGACTCGCTCCACATAGCATTAAAGAGAGCTGCCAGTTGCCGGTGCTCTCACACCCCTTTTCAGTGCGGCTTATCTCTGTCTCTTTATAAGCTGGCCTCATCCTCTGCCACAGACTCGCTCCCCATAGCATTAAAGAGAGCTGCCAGTTGCCGGGGTATCCTATACTTTATACTTGAGATCCAAAAGCCCCTTTTCTTGCAGCAGCTATGCATTACTCTCAGGAATGATTCCGATTGGCCCTACTGAGTCACATGCCCACCACCTAGGACCAATCACTGGGGACAGCGAGATAGGGAACCAGGTTTGTGCAATTATTAGGGCTGTTGCCCCTATATAGCTTCATGGAGTTTGGATGAGGACGGCTACGATGACTGGTGCTATATGGCTTATGGATGAATATGCGATTAGTGATTTTAGGTCTGTTTGGCATAAGCAAACTGAGCTGGTTATAATTATTCCTCAGAGAGATAATATTAGGAATGGGTACGTTATGAAGCTCGTTGTTGGGTTTAGTATAGTGGTAATTCTCAACATACCGTAGCCTCCTAGTTTGAGTAGTACGGCTGCAAGAACTATTGAGCCAGCAACTGGAGCTTCTACGTGTGCTTTTGGTAGTCATAGATGTAGTCCATATAAGGATATTTTTACTGGTTTGGCCCTCTAGAGTCACATGGAGGCATGTGACTCTCCCTACCATATCGAGTGAGGGACACAGTTCCTTCGGAACCACATGGGATGGGGAAGAGTCAGTTCTCCAACAGAAAAAGAAATGCCGAGCTGACAAAAGGAAGTCAGAGGAAGTTACTGGAGGAGTTGGGAGGGGGTCAATCTGATGGAGAAAGAAGATGGATCTTGGTATCAGCGGGAGGTGCAGGTGGAAAGGCAGGGCTGAATGGGGAACGCCCTGGGGACACAGATGAAGATGTGAGCAGG